ATGTGGTTTCGTGGGTAGAGAGAGGGAGAGAGGGAGAGACAGCGAAAAGTAAACCAGAAAGGCGAGAGAGGGGGGTTGAGGGGTGGTTGATTACAGGAAAGAAGGAAGAGAAAATGAAACATGCTAATTCATTGAATTACAGGACCCAATGTCAATAACGAAAGCAACGATACGCCGCAAGGATGTACAGTTGAGCAGGTTGCTTATGTTGTTAGACATGGGAGTCGATTTCCAGACCAGGGGGCTTATGATGAGTGGGTTTCTTTGTACAATAAGGTATGTGTGTTTTTACCAGCTCTCTCTCATCTCGAACCTCTGATCAATTAATGACATATGACCTGGGAAATCATGGACCTTTGCTACAAAAATACTGATTACCAACAGATCCAAAACTCAACCTTCACAGCCACTGGACCCCTCGAGTTCCTAAAGACTTGGAAACCAGTGCTCACTCACCCCTCCCTGCAAATCGCCCAAGAGAGTCCGACGGGGTATAAAGAAGCCTATGATTTGGGATATCGGTTGCGAACTAGATATCCGGATCTCTACGCCTATGGATCACCATTTATGGCCTGGGCTAATCTCTATCCCAGAGTGGTGCAGACGGCACAGAATTTCGTGCGTGGGTTCTTGGGCTCGTCGGCGAGTACGTTGGGAACGGTTGTGACTGTGAATAGCACGGGGAGTCCGCAGGCGATCTTTGATAGTCTGGCGCCGAGTGATCTTTGTCCGAGTTTTAGGGATGGGAATGGAGGGGTTGAAGGTTTGTTATTCTTTCTATTTTCTGTTCATTTCTCTCGTGGACTGGTCTTGGTACAAGGAGAGGCTTCTTACTTGGGAAGCAAAAAGAGGCTGATATGAAATAGCAACAAAATGGTCTTCTACATACCTCCCCCCAATCACCGCACGACTCAATGCCCTCGTCAGCGGAAACCTAACATTCGCAACCTCAGACGTCTCAATATTCCCCTACCTCTGCGGTTTCGAGTCCCAAATCACCGGCCAGTTTTCCCCCTGGTGTTCCGTCTTCACCGCTGCCGAACTCCTACAATACGAGTACGCCCAAGATCTCCGCTACTACTACGGAATCGGCGATGGCACCGACCTATCCAGTAAAATGATGCTGCCCTTCCTCAACTCCCTCCTTAGATTACTGGGTAAGGGACCGGGACAGATGGGTCAGGGAAAGAATGGGACGTTCAAGGTTCCGGATATCGTTACGGCGTTCTTGAATGATGGACAGCTTACTGAGTTGGTTGCTGCGACGGGTGTGATGGGCGATCAGAAACCGTTGAATGGGAGTGCGATCCCTGCGGCGGAGGAGTGGAAATACGTCGCTAGTCGCTTCGTCAGTATGCGGGGGACTGTTGCTTTTGAACGGCTTTCTTGCTCTCCTGTTGCGGAAGAGGAGGAGGAAGAGCAATTCGCTTGTGATCCTCCCCGTGCTCCTCCTTCGAATTCAACAGAAGGTGGGAAGGAAACGTATGTTAGGATTCTACTCAATGATGCGGTTTACCCGGTTCCTACATGTCAAAATGGACCGGGCAGAAGCTGTGCGCTTGAGGAGTATACGGAGATTGTGGGGAGTAAGTTGGGTGATGCGGGGGATTTGAGGGGTAGGTGTAATGTTAGTGAGGCTGTGAGGATGACGGGGAATGGGACGAGTGGGGGGGGAGCGAGTTTCTTTACGGAGTTGGGGGGCAGTTGGTTGGGGAGTGTGGTTCCTTGATGGGTTGAGGAGGTGTGGGCGGTGGTGATATGTAATTTCAATGAGATATGGACTGCTAAATAGTGTGCAAAGAATGGTGAGTCTTGGTCTTGTTTCTATGGAAATTACTAGGGGTATAGTCAAAAGCGCGGTGAGCTGATCAAGGCAGAGAGAGATCTTATAGGTAGGTAGGCATGCCTCACAAAACAAGAAATACGTTCTCCAAAATTGAGAGTCTAAGAGAAGCAACGGTAAGCTCAAAGTCCATATCTACTGTCCAATTTGTTCAATTCGAGGTATGTAAGCGATATAAGCCACGCCATTGTATGTATAATGCAGGCAATTAATGGCAGTCTGTTAATTACATAACAGCTAAAACAATGCTTTCTCATAGTCCCAGTATTCATTTCGCAAACTTGTAGTTTGACGGTAGTTCTCTGTACGGGGGTTATCTGCGCCGACGTCTTCTGTAAAAACTCTTTCCTAAATAACACGGGCTGGAGAAGTTTCCTTCCGTGTTTTGTCATGGGTTTTGTTGTTGTTTCTGCTCTTGTGTTTAGAGATTTTCTATTTCTGGGTTTTCTACTTCGAAGACTGAGATGTCTTGATTTCAAGCTATATAGAAGCTGGTTTCTCATATGATGTTTCAAGTTAGTTGGTGTCAATCTGTCGATGAAAGCCCTGTAGATCATGATGGAATTGGACCGGGCGAGAACCGTGGAAGAGTATAGGACTTTATTTATTAGAACTCTTGGCTAGAGGGGTATGGTTCGTAGAGTAATGTGTACTTGGTGTCTCAAATCAGCGAGATCTACAAATTATATTTCCTTTTCTAATGATAAAGTACGCTAGAAATAGGAGTACTTTAGCTGAAAAGGGAACAACCTACTCTTTATAGGTAGGCTGCAATGTTAAGCTCCGGCTAATAGGGCATCTCACGTGATTTGTCTCCTATTGCGTAATAGAGGATTCCTTTTATTACAATAAGTTAATAGACATTATTTAGTTGCCCTTTAACAATCCTAACTAAGACAAATAATCAAGTAAAGATTATAGGATAACCGAAGCAAATATAAATATGCGAAAGATTTGGGTTAATCACTTAAAATTAACCTACGAATGTGGGATAACGAGATAATGTTATTAATAAATCAAGGCAACCTTCATGTTGCACCTGAGAATTTCTCATATCGTACAGCCCTGCAGAAAAACGCCGTTCCAACCAACCAATAAGTAACTCCCTGGATCAAAAACGCCGTTATAAGCTCATTACCTAGGCGAGCTGCCTATTCACGAAATCATCATCTTTTTATACTAAACACATTAGGGGGTTTCATATCTGCGACGCTCCTAAATGAGCATTAGCAAATATTAGAATATGGTATGGAGGCCTGTTCACCTTCCTGTGACGCCCTCTTCCGCATACAAATCTAAGAGATCCGGGCCCTTTTCCTCCGTTCACCTTCCATTGTTTTCTGCCTTCTAGCGAATCTTCTCACTAAGCTTGATCAAACCTCGTCTCCAGCGACTAGTTACAGCTTGACGTCCAGTCACTTTATCCGCTATGAGGGCTTTGGCACAGGCTTCGATGCGTCGCTTTTGGTCCGGGTTGTCCAGGTAATCGTGAGTTAAGGAAGCGATCGTGTGGTTTTTCATCCACTTGGAAAGCTTGATATCCCCAAGACCATTCGCACAAGTGAAGCGGTGGTACTTTTCTCTGTTTAAGTCTGTGTACATCTCAATAGCAACCCTGTCCGAGTCACTAGCCATATCTTTCAGTGCTAACAAGATCGAGGTACGCGAATCTTTAATGGCAATGCTCTTTTTGGCCCCGGATCCAATACTGAGTATTGTGAACTCGGATGGTCTGCATTTTGGGAACGTGTTGTGGGCCTCGTCGAGTAAGATTCGACAGGGATTATTGTATCCAGCAATCGCAGCGTCGACGAATTCAATCTGGTCTCTTCCGCACGCGATACTTCTAAAGTAGGTGGTTGCAGCAGATGTGGCTCTAGCAACTTCCCAGATCTTACATTCCGCCATTTGTGGATCAGTTGAGTATGTTTTGAAGAGTGTGGGAGGACCAGAAATGTCGTCTTTTTTTGCAGCTAGCACGACAGTCTTGCAGCCTTCCATGTCACGAAATAGATGCTCTGAATGCTCGCAACTGGTATACTCGCAGCCTTTCTTCTGACATTGCTGTGAGATCGCTAGCTTCAAAGCCTTCTCCAGATACATTGTTGAGAATTGGCCATCTGGTGATCCTGGAAGGTTCCATCTCGCTTTGGGAGTAAATGCCAAAGCTGCGAGTGACTTATAAGCGTGGATACAATCATTAACGGTCATACGAAGTCTTCCAAGCATGATCGCGATGACTCTGAAGTTGCTGGTGAGCAAATCTTCGTGTAAACATTAGCCGAGATGGTGGATGTGTTCACTTACCCTCCTGTGCTGGTTCCCCCAATGAGGTCAAAGTATTCACAGGGTAATGGTGCTTCTTTGAGACCATTGGTGACTTTGATTTTCTCCATAACTGCTTCGAGAATGATCAATTCTGACAGACCTCGAACTCCTCCACCGTCTATGATCCGTCAGTACTTGGCACTCTCGTGCGCATCACATTTAGAGATTTGACTTACCTAAAGAAAGTATCCTAACCATTGCTGCAACCAACAACTTCCCCCGCCAGCTCCGGGTCCAATATACTGATATTCAGTTCATATGCAATTCGTTGTAGTGATCGTCGATTTCGTCCAGAAGTGTGGCACGAGAAGTGACGGGAATGGAAGAAGCGAAGTTTTGATTCCAAGGAGGGGGCACGTGGAGGGGTAATAGTCTAACCTAGTCCAGGTTTATCGTGATTTGTGGAGTAGTAGTACCCGGAATGTGGAGTCGTCTATTGTGATCGCTCTTTCCTTCCCCAAAGCGAACACAAAACGATCCAAGCTTTGACCTCGGTGTCGAACTCGACCTTGACAATGAACGTTACACTGAATGATGATTGTTCAACGTCTTGACTCGAGCCCGAGACAAGATTCAAAAAAGGAAGTATATGGTGACACGAGAGAATATACGAACGTTCATGGCGAAGCGTGTTCTCTGTGAAAGTAAAAGGTGCTCAAGTTCAAAAGTGACAAGGAATAGGTCATTCCAGGACTTTGGAAGTCGAAACATCGAACTGAATTGCCACGGTGGTTTTTGAGAGATGGGAGAAATCAAGAAATCTAGTTGGTGTGACTGACTGTACGACTCACGAAGGGCGGGGCCTAGATCTCAAGTGAGACTCGACAATTTACGTTAGATGCCCTGCAACCACAAAGCGGATTGCAGGCTCCACGCTCACTATGAGGCTCTTGAAGGATGCGGCTGTGTCTTCTGAGTCCTGACTGGATGTAAAACGTTTTTGGCCCCCATATTTTCCAAGGGGCAGGACTTTTCATGGTTGGGCAACCGGAACTAAAATGCCCGTTGTAGTCAGACGGTAACCACGCAAAATTCCCGTGGTGTTTCCTTCCCCGATAATTCCATTTATATTTAATGGTGCATCTAGGTAAAGATTTGTCAGACGCTCCAAAGTTGAGCCTTACGCTATCCGTCACTAACGAAGGCGCTGTAGCCTCGCTTGCGTGAAAGCAGGATCTCTAGGAGTTGTTGCTTTTTGCTTTTTGCTTTTGCTTGTCCTGCAATTACAAAAAGCAGGTTCTGAGTTTCTTTTTCTGTCATCAAATTGTCAGACATCTGAAACAAGAGTATTTGAATTCAATTTTGGAAATCTGTTAGAAGACTTTCTCCTATGTTGTACGGGATAAGCAAATGCAGTATGTTTGATTACCAGCTTCTTCAGACCAAAGAGGCCTAAAATAGACCACGACCCAACCACGACCCATGATCGAGTCAGCAAATAAAGAAACGTGGCTGTATTCAGCTGTGCCTTATGATATCAACTGGTAGGTCACCCTAAGCGAGATCCATAAGCACAGCCCCTTCTCAAAAGTAGCAAAATGTTTCGCGACCCTAGAAACTGTGAAAATAAGCAATTCAAATACATAATGCTTTAAAAATTTCCCGGCAACGCACTAGTGAATAACCCTAGAACCTTGCTATTTTGAGATGGGGCTGTATATAACCTCATCACGTGGACGCTCTACAGTTCGCGGAAATTGGAACTCATCTCATATTGTGACGTGAGCCAGCGCGTAAGGGCATTTACGTTTGATCTATGCAATACAATCCGGATTACAGCAGTTAACCCAAAGCAGCATAAAAGCCCTTTTTGAAGCCCTCCCTAAATTTATGGCGAATAAAGTGAACCCTAATTTGCAACTTTTCCTAGAAAGCTTATATTAAGTGATCCTCTATCTCAGAATATCTTTCCCCTTAGAAGATATATAAAATGCACACCAGCTCTTTTCAATTGTGTCACCCCTGGTAATACTTCATCTATCAACTTTAATATCTACAATATCACAATAGAGACTTTGCGGCTATCAAAACCGGGATTAAAGATAGTCAACCGCACATAGAAAACCTTCTGTTTTACTCCAAGAACATCTCTTTGAAAGGTATATGTATGCACTCTAGGCACCCAGGAAGCATAAATATATGCGTTTTCCAGGGAAGCCCATGGCAAAGTAATCTACAAATGTCAGCTCGTTCTACAGAATTTGCGACGCCTTCGAGCCGGCTTCTAGCATGTACAATCAGGTCCGTGTACTAACGGTTATATAGCTTTTTCGACACCTATATATTAAAACTACTATCACTTTACTAAAACATATATAAATAGATTAGAAATAGGCTTAATTAATAGCTAATTAGTACTTAGTTACCCTACCTTTGTTCTTAAGGCATACGGCGTACCTAGCTAGTGTAGAATTATATAGCTTAAGGAGTAAATCTTCGGGTATTCATATCTACGTTTAAATAAGAGCGTACTATATATCCTTTATATTCTTAACCTTATACTTCTTGTTAGAGATAAAGTCCTTAACCTACTTCTATAAATTCTTAATAGGGTTAAGATTAGGTAATTATAATAGCTATTTTATCTAGTTAATCCCCTTATTAGCTAAGTAGTTCTTAATAATATTAATAGTATACTACGATATATTATCCTCTTATAATACTACCTCCGGCTTATATTTAGCGACTATCCTATTATAGAATAGAATAAAGAGCCTTTAGAGTATAATCTTATACTACTTAGCTATTATATTCTAACCTTCTAGTAATATATATAGAGGTCCTATCTTATTACTATAAAAACAACTCTAATATTCTATACTTATCTAACTACTCTTAAAAGTAGGCTATAGGTTCTTGTCGGTATACTCCTCCTCCCTTTTAGGCTCCCTAGTTACCTAAAATATAGTACTATTATCCCTGATTTTAATTATAAACTTGTCGCTATAGTAGACCTTCTAAGGGTCCCTTTTAATAGCATTTTTATACTTTATAAAGGTCCGACGCTTCTTTTTATAAAGGGGGCTAAGGAAAGGCTTCTTATAAGGCTAGCGCTTAGATTTATTATACTTTTTAAGGATCTTAGAGATTGTCACGGATGCCAACAAAGGATAAAGTGTATACAGCTTTTGAATCAATTGCTAGAACTAAAACCGTAGGTACGAAGAAATCAAACTAAAAAGAGAAGAGAATCTGAAAGGAGCGAAGTTATTTAAGTTGTTCCAATGCCAAGTCTCGTCACGTGCTTGGCCAAGCGAATGAAATCCTGTCAAATGAAATCCAGCTCCGTCACACTCTTCTTAAATACGTTGATAACCTAGCTACGAACGGTCTTACTATACCTAGGGATTAGTTTCTTAGTATCTAGTAATACTACCTAAAGGAACTTAATAAAAAGATTATTAATCATAAGTAATAGTACTAGCTAGTATATTATAATCTATATAATAAGAACCCTCTAAAAAGGAATAGATTAAACCGCTATAACTAGATTTATATACTCCTCTCTTTCTACTCAAAGGGACTACTCTCTTATAACGTTACTACTCCGAATAGTAGTATTATGTAACGAATACTCAAACTGGCTAACTAAACTTGGCTGGGTGTTCGCTGGTTGGTATGCTATGATAAGAAGACTATCGGGTTGTTCACTTGAAAGTGAACTCGTTACTTGTATCAAAGATGTCAGACTAATATGATAAGATTGATAACTAAGTTGAGCACGAAGCTCCTATCTAATGGCAGACGTGCCAGTCTTATATAGAACCTTCGTCCTCATAGAATAGCTGTAGATAGCTGGCTATTCTATGTTCCCACAAATAGCTGGCTATCCGTAGCTATTTTGATCACGTGACAACTTAGATACAAAGAAATCCCTGGATCGCTTAGCTAGCCTATCACGAAGCTCCTATCTAATGGCAGACGTGCCAGTCTTATATAGAACCTTCGTCCTCATAGAATAGCTGTAGATAGCTGGCTATTCTATGTTCCCACAAATAGCTGGCTATCCGTAGCTATTTTGATCACGTGACAACTTAGATACAAAGAAATCCCTGGATCGCTTAGCTAGCCTAAACGATCTTGTTTTACTATAACTTCCTGGACGAGTCTGCTCTGGGGTTGAACCTTATTAGGAACAGACATCACGTGAACACGTGATTCGTGACATATAGTCCTTTAGGAGGTGTTATTCCTTATTTATAGCGTTATTAGTCGAGCCCTAGATAATCCTATAGTACTTATATTACAAAAAGAGACGATTTCTATTAGGCTTATTTATATAGGTTTTTACTAGGAAATGTAGTAAGGATATCCTAAAGGTAGAAGAGGGTAAGAAACTAACTATTAGACGTATAAAGAAGCTCTATCCTATACTCCTAGTACTAGGTAGTCTTTCTCGAAGCTTTTATTAAAAACTTCTTCTAAAGTATATATTAATTTACGCTAATCTTAACCTTTAAATCCTATAGAATTGAGTTAATTATTAGGGTATATTCGATTTTAGTTTTAGCTTTAATTAATTGATTAAGAGTTATAGTTATACGAGTAAAGTGTCACGAATCACGTGTTAGCATGTGACGAGTGAAGACCAGGCGGCGTCCTGACAGGTTAAGCACTATCATTGGGCTCTTATAGCAAGTGAAGGGTGGGGCAGGCTTGCTGCTCCATCCAAGGATTTCATTGTATGTAGTCACGTGATGGATCTTGGGATCTTGAGGATCCCAGGATCCAGACAAGGGATCTGGGGGATCCTCAGATCCACATGGGAACGAAGGTTCTATATAAGATGGCATGTCTGCCATTAGATAGGAGCTTCGTGCTCAACTTAGTT